GCTTTCTTCATTTTGTTTTGATCTTTTTTTCTGATTGATCCCTTTCCAAAGAAGTATTCAGGTATTTGTCTTCAATCTCACTAATTCTGTCTTCCATTGATTCAGTTCTACTCCTTTGCCCATTCAATGTATTATCTATTTCTGACAATTTAGTATTAATCTTCTGGATTTCTATCTGTAGGTTTTGTATCATTTCTATTTTTTCATTTATTTTGACATTTTGCTCTTGTATTGTCTTTCAAAATTGTTGTAGGGTTTTCTCTGTGTTTTCCTCAATTTTGTCAGTGTTTTCCTTGATCTATCTCTCAATCCATTGAAGGTACCTAAATATAATTCTTTTGAATTCCTTATTAGGGAGTCCAGTGCTGCTCCTTCCTCAGGGATGTGTTTTGGGTCTGTAACCTGGTCCTTTGTTTCTCCTGCTTTCTCTTGCTTCTTTGTGTGGACTGTGATGCTCTTTTGTCTCTGAGACATTGTGATGTTTCTGTGTTTGTATTTAATTGGTAATTTATGTTAGAGTGACTTGTCCACAATTTTTGTTTTCTTTGCATGTTAGCTATGTAAGCAGAGTACTGTGCTCCTCTATTCATTAGTTGGCAGCACTTATACACTCACCACTTCTTTCCCATTGTCAGCCTCCCGTATGTCCCTGCCATCCTTGGCAAATGGAACCTATTCTTGGGTCCTGGAATCCAAATGAGAATGCTGTCACTTTAAAATCCAATATGGCTGCTGCTTGTAAACATTCAAAATGGCTGCACCCTGGGTCACTTTAAATATCCAAAATGGTCGCCACTTGTAAATGATCAAAATGGCTGCATCCTCCAGACAGCCAAAAGTCCACAGCTCAGTTTGTCTCCCTCTTGCTGTTTCCTTCCTAGTCATAGGCCACCAGCACAGTTGTCCCTGCAGCCCTTGGTGACCAGAGCTAATCTTTAGGTCAATTCTCAGGTCTCAACACCACTTGGAAATATTCAGGCTGTTTGTCCCATCAGAGTAGTTGAAGTCTGCTGCTCCAACCATCTCCATACTGAACTGTTTTCATTCACGTTTTTCCCCTAGTTGGTGCCTAATCCACTTCTGTATACTTCCTTTCAAAGCTCAGAGCTCCAGGATCATCTTCTGTGTCTCTGTCAATTTATTTATCTTTTCTTTGTTGAAGAGGGTCTGTGTAGCTTGTCTGCCTATTCCGCCATTTTAACAGGAAGTCCCTGATTTTTCTTTCTTGATGGTGCCCTCTCTTCTCTGGGATTGGCTCTCTTTTTAAGCCTAGCAGGATGGCAAAACTGATCAGACCCCTTTTCAGGGTTCCATATACCTCATTTGCCTGGTCTCACCCCCACAAGCTCTGGTGGCTCTGTGGTTATAAGACATTCAGCTGCTAGCCAAAAGGTTAGTGGTTTGGACCCACCAGTCACACTCCATGGGAAAAAGTTGAGGCTTCTGTAAAGATTAATAGCCTTGGAAACCTTATGGGGCAGTTTTACTATGTCCTATAGGAAGGAAGGTTGGGCAATCCTACTTCTGTAGTGATACTGCCTCGGAAACCCAAGGAGGGGTCGCTATGAGTCGGGGCCGACTCGACGGCACATAACAACAACATAGGATCATTATGAGTGAGAATTGACTCGATGACGGTGTTTGTTTGTTTTTTTTTTTTTATCCCACAAGGGTTCTGTACACCTTATTTGCCTTGCTAGCTTACTATCCAGTCCTGTTGGTGATCCACAAGCACCTTAATTGCATGTTGTTGTTGTTGTTATGTGCCCTCGAGTCGGACCCAACTCATAGTGACCCCTCCTTGGGTTTCCCAGGCAGTATCACTACGGAAGTAGATTGCCCCATCTTCCTTCCGAGGAGTGGCTGGTGGGTTTGAACCACCAGCCTTCTGGTTAGCAGTCAAGTGCCTTAGGCACTATGCTATCAGAGCTCCCCCTTAATTGCATAGGACCACCCAATCATTGTATGGGAGTTACAAGGCCATGCATGATGAAAAAGAACCATAATAAGTAATTCACTGCACAGCAGAGTGTAAAGGTGTGTATGGTGTGTCTGTGAGTGTGTGAGTGTATTTGTGTATGTGGAGTGTGAGTGTGTGTGTGTGTGAATGGTGGTGTGTATGTATGGTATGTATTTGGTGTGTGGAGTGTGTGTGTGTGTGGAATGTCTGTATGTGTATTTATGTATGAGTGTAAGTCATCACACAGAATCCACATGCTTACTGTCTTCCTTATTCACATTGTCATACAATACTTATGGAACCTTCATTATGGAACTACTGTAGATAGTATGTCTATTGTCTAGCCAATGGGGCAATGTGAAGTGAGAGAGACAGTGGCTCTTAAGGCCCAGTGTGGGAGGCAGTCAATATAAAACTGTTGTTGTCAATCGATTCCAACTCCTAGAAACCCTATAGGATGGAGAGGAACTGTCCTGTAGGGTTTCCAAGGCTGTAAATCTTCAAGGGAGCAGACTGCCCCATCTTTCTCCTGTGGAGTGGATGGTGGATCTTTTCACCAGTGCCCACCAGCTCCCTGTGCTGGACACCCAGGCTCAACTCACATGTCCCCATATTTGGGGAGCCTTCCCATGGTTGAAAGATGTCTCCTAATACCCGTTTGTGGCCCCTGTGGGACTGGAGACCCCTGGTCACACCTCATCCAGGTCAGAGAAGGTGCCTGGTCAGTGTGTTTTGAATGTCTGAAAGAAAAAACGGTGAAAATTTACAGGGTTGCTGGGTCAGCTGAAAGCCCCAGTGGAGGATGGAACTCCACAGTGCTATGAGCAAAACCTTTCACTGTGGTAAACACATGTGACACCCAATTTGCAGTTTTCATCATTTTTAAGAGCATAATCCAGTGACACTAGTGACAATGGGATAGAGCCATCACCCCTATCTCTTTCCAAAATCACTTCATCGCCCCAAGCAGAAACTTGGGATCCGTTAAACAATTCCTCCCCATTACCCACTCCTCCTGGCACCTGGTCACCACCAATCTGCTTGAGTCTCTCTGCATTTGTCTCATCAAGGAATTTGATATAAATGGGGTTAGACAGTATTTGTCCTTTTTTGTCTAGCCTCTTTTACTTGGCATGATGCTTACAAGGTTCATTCACATTATAGCATGTAGCAGAATTTGTTTCTCTTCATGGCTGTATAGTATTTCATTGTATATACACCACATTTTACAATGAAATACTATACTCATTGTATATACACCACATTTTGGGAGTCAAGTGCCTAAGCTACTCCTCAGAAGGAAGATGGGGCAATCTACTTCCATACTGATACTGTCTCAGAAACCCAAGGAGTGGTCATTATGAGTCAGGTCCGACTCGATGACACATAACAACAGACAACACCACATTTTCTTGTCCATCCATCCCTGTAGGTTGTCTCACCATTTGGCTGTTGTGAACAATGCTGAAATGGCTGTTGTAGTACAGGGACCTGCTGTGTCCCTCTTTGCAGTTCTTGTAGGTGCACTCCCAAGATGGAGAGCTGGGTTGCACGTGATCCTGTATGTAACTTTTGAAGGACTCATGAAGCTCTTTGCACATTAGCTGTTTCGTTTTACATTCCCACCAGCAAGGCAAGGGCTCCAGTTCCTCCACACACCCCTGTGCTTGTTTTTCCATATCTTGATATTGGCTACCCTGGCGGGGGTGGAGGGCTATTTTGTGGTGGGTTTGATTTGTGTTTCCCTGAGGTCCATGGATGATGCAAGCGGTTTGCATTTAACTACTAACCGGAAAGATGGTGGTTTGAACCCTCCCAGCAGTGCCGTGGAAGAAAGGCCTGGCCATCTGCTTCTGTAAAGTTTACAGCTAAGAGACAGAAAAATAGCTAGTCACCTGGAGAAACACTGAAAAACCCCAACCTTTGCTTTCTTGAGCTAAAAAATGTGAGCCAAGTGTCAAACACTAACTCAGCGTTAACATTTGGAGCTCTGGTGGTGTGGTGCCTAAGGAATTTGACTGCTGACCAGAAGCCTGGCAGTTCTAACCCATCAGCCACTCTGCAGAAGGACGATTGGGCAATCTACTTCCCTAGATATACCGCCTCAGAAACCCAAGGTGGGGTCGCTATGAGTCGGAATCGACTCCATGGCAGTGAGTTTGCTTTTATTTTCATTAGGAAGATGCTCAGAGTTCCACAGCCTGCAGCAATGGATTTAAAAAATAAAATGACTAAAGCCAAGAAGACCCTATGGGGTGTTTACACACTGTAACCCCTGGGGTCGCCACAAATTGAATCAACTTAAAGGCAATGAGTCTGTGACCAAGGCACTTGATTGCTAACCAGAAGGCTGGCGGTTCAAACCCACCAGCCACTCCTTGGAAGGAAGGTTGGGCAAACTACTTCCACAGTGATACTAACTTGGAAACCCAAGGAGGGGTCGCTATGGGTCGGGTCCAACTCGAGGGCACATCACAACAACACAACAAAGTAGAAAGTCAGCAAAAAAAAAAAAATGGTGAAGACCCTCCATGCAATGGGCTGACACAATGGCAGTGACGATGTGCTCAGGTATAGTGAGGATTGTGAGGCTGGCGTGAGAGCAGGCAGTGTTTTGTTCTGTAGGACATGGGTCGCTATGAGTTGCAGCCCCCTGAAAGGCACCTAAGGACAGCAATGCATTGAGATTTTTTCCATGTGCTTGTTGGCTACTTGGATCTCTTTCTGGGGTAAATGTCTATTCACATCCTTAGCTCATTTTCCTATTGGATTGTTTGTATTTTTGTTACTGAGTTCATAGGTTTGCAGGAAGTACTATTACTATTCACTTGAAAACTTCTATTTTGAAAAACACAAGCCTTGCCCTTCTTGCCCTCAGGAAACACCAGGGCTGGTGGCAAGCCTTGGAGAGCAGACTGCGAGGAGAGCTGATCAGCAGAGGACGGGAGAAAGTGCTCTGGGCTCACCGGAGGAAGGAGAGGTAATGGGGTGGGGGTGCTATGCTGCCTGCGAGCTGAGCTGTTGGGGGAGGTGAAAGGTGGAGGGTTAGGAGGAGCCTTTTGGTTAGTATTAGCAGCCAAGTGCTTAACCATCTGTACCACCCAGGGGCTCCTACCTTCACCTCAGCTCTGAGAAATTGTGGATGGGGCTCTGGTTACAAGCTTCCTCTGGACACCCAGTGTTCGGACAACACACAGTAGGTACCTCTTTTTTAACCCATTATCAATCTATAAGGCTAGCCTGCCTTCCCCAAGGACTGCAAATCTTCATTCTAAGGGGGCTTAGTTTAGAAGCTGAAGATAAGCCTGTAGCTATCAGCACTGAGAATGTTCTGTTAACATTTACAAGCATTTTAATTACTGTATTGATTTTAACTAATGGCTCTTTTTAAATGCAGCACAGTTGGAAAGAGAATTCCTCATAGCTGCTGTTAGAGCTTAGTTTATGCAGCTCTTTCTTGTCAATTACTGCCCTGGAGCCTCCCATTCTTCCAGAAAGCAGGGTTGGAAGCTCAGAGGGGCAGAGGAAGTGGCCCCCACCTGCAGGTGGTAGTTTCCCCAGCTATGGGGCCCTCTACCCACCCTTTTATCTCCCTTAGCTTCCAGCCCTGTAATCTTTTCCCTCCAGGGAATGCCTTTCTCTGTTAACAAAACTCCAAAACCAAACCCACTGCTATCAAGTGGATTGATTCCAACTCATAGTAGTCCCTCTAGGGTTTCCAAGACTGTAAATCTTTTTGGGGTAGACTACCAAGTCTTTCTCCCATGGAGTGGCTGGTGGTTTCAAACCACTGACCTTTTGTTAGCAGCCAAGTGCTTAGCCCTTATTCTACCATTGCTCCTTGGATAGACTGATGATGGGTTAAAAAAAATAGGTACCTACTGCATGTTGTCCAAACACTGGGTGTCTAGAGGAAGCTGTAACCAGAGCCCTGCCCCAGCCACAATTTCTCAGAGCTGAGGTGAAGATAGGAGCCCCTGGGTGGTACAGATGGTTAAGCACTTGGCTGCTAGTACTAACCGAAAGGTTGATGGTTTGAACCCACCCAGAGGCACCTTGGAAGAAAGGCCTGAAGATCTACTTCCAAAAGGTCACAGCCATGAAAAGCCTGTGTAGCACAATTCTACCCTGTACACATAGTGTCACCATGAGTCAGAGTCGATTCGATATGACTTCTCTGTGGCAGAAGTCTTGGAGTCAGTGATAATAGGTCTGACATCAGAATTTAGTCTCAAATAAATTAAATCAGAATATTGAGCCAGAACCAAGAACTGGAAATTAAGTGTTCCAAATGTAACCACCACCACCACCACTTGACATCAAGTCAACTCTGACTTATGGCAACTCCATGTGTGTCAGAATAGAACTGTGCTCCGTGGGTTTTTTCAGTGGCTAATTTTTCAAAAGTAGATCACCAGGAGGCCACTGCTTCTCTGCCAGATCATTGCACTGTGGTGGCCTGTGTGTTGTGTGATGCTGGAAGCTATGCCATCAGTATTTCAGCTACCAGCAGGATCACCTGTGCTGTACGGGTTCAGTGGAGCTTTCGGAACAAGACAGATGAGGAAGAAGAAATTGATGATCCAGAGAAAACCTTATGAATAGCAGCAGGACGTTGTCTGATAGTGTGCCAGAAGATGAGCCCCTCGGGTTGGAAGGCACCCAAGATATGGCTGGGAAAGAGCTGCCTCCCCAAAGCAGAGTTGACCTTAATTTCGTGGACCTCCATTTGCTGATGTGGCCCAACTCAGAATGAGAAGTAACAAAAGCCACCATCCCTGAATAATCAGAATGTGGAATGTACAAAGTATGAACTTAAGAAAATTGGAAGTTGTGAAAAATGAAATGGAATGCACAAAGATCAATATCCTAGGCTTTGGTGAGTGAAAATGGACTCATATTAGCCATTTTGAATCAGACAATCACACAGTCTACTATACCGAGAATCAAAAAATGAAAGGAACAGTGTCATATTCTATGTCAAAAAGAACATTTCAAGATCTATTCTGGGAGCTCTGGTGGCATAGTGCCTAAGGCACTTGACTACTAACCAGAAGGCTGGCGGTTCAAACCCACTAGCCACTCCTCAGAAGGAAGGTTGGGCAATCTACTTCCATAGTGATACTGCCTCAGAAACTCAAGGAGTGGTAGCTATGAGTCGGGGCCGACTCAACTGCATATAACAACAACAACAATTCTGAAGTACAGTGCTATCAGTGATAAGACAATATCCATATACCTATAAGGAAGACTAGTTAATAAGAATATTATTCATATTTACTCATGAACCATTAATGCCAAAAAAATAAATAAATTGAAGATTTTTTTCCAACTTCTAAAATCTGAAATTGATGAAACATGCAATCAAGATGCATTGATATTTATTGGTGATTGGAACATAGACGTTAGAAACAATGAAGAAGCACTGGTAGTTGGAAAACATGGCCGTGGTGAAAGAAATGACACAGGAGATTGCATGATAGAATTTTGCAAGACCAACAACTCACTCATTGCCAATGCCTTTTTCAACAGCATAAATGGCAGCTATCCACATGGACCTCCCCAGAAGGAGTATACAGGAATCAGATTGACCACATCTGTGGAAAGGGACTGCCAAAGGGGCAGGGAAGCTGCATCTTCTGACCTCCTCTAACCCCACAAGAGGAAGACAGAATTACCATCAGTAGCCCAAGGCCTATTTCTGCGAGGCTGGACATGCTGCCTCCCTCCAGCCCTTTCACCAACCCCGACACAAACCGTTTCTCCCACAGCACCCACTACCTCTCTGCAGGGTTTGATAATTTGCTGCAGTGGCCACACAGAAATCACAGATTATGGGGTTTATTAGGGAAGCAACAGGCTACAATTCAAGTTTGGAAATGCACTCAGTCTCTTGCAGCCGGCTGTCTCACTCAGCAGCTGGCAGTCTCAGTAGCACATTGCTCTCTCAGTAGTACATGTGTCTCGTGTCTTGCTCTCACCTGTGTGTGTCTCTCATGTCTCTCTCTCAGCAGTGCATGTCTTTCATGTCTCTCAGCAGTGAGTGTCTTTCACATCTTTCTCTCAGCAGCATGTGTCTCTCAGGTGCATGTTTCTCTCAGCAGCACATCTTTCTCAGCCAGCAGTCAGAGACATTACTTCTGCCTTTAGAAGGCCTTCTTTTGAGCCTGGCAGAGTGGCCATAACCAATTCCAACACCAGAATTCTATACACCTGAGAGAGAGAGAGAACTTCCCAGAAGATTGCTTTGTGCTACTCTCAACAGAAATACCTCAGGTGGATAACTTTAACAATCAGGAGCTACTTAGTTGTTCATGGCAAATTCCACAAAGGAGTTTACAAAGACTTATGGCTAGAAAAGCCACACTATGTAATTTACTACACCACAGATCAAAGGAGAAGATCAGTGTAACCAGTCAGAAAAAGGCCAGGGACCAATTTCAGAACAGGCCATTAATTGCACATATGCAAGTTCAAGTTGAAGCTGAAGAGAACTAAAATAGTCAATGGGACCCAAAGTACAACCTTGAGTATATTCCAACTGAATTTAGAGATCGTTAGAAGAACCAATTTGATGCATTGAACACTGATGACAGCAGACCAGATGAGGTGTGGGATGACATCAAGAACATCATACATGAAGAAAGGAAACCATCATTAAAACAACAGGAAAAGAAAAAGAGACTAAATTGGGTGTTAGAAGAGACTCTGAAACTTGGTCTTGAATGCAGAGTAGCTACAGCGAATGGAAGAGTAAAAGAGCTGAATAGAAGATTTTGAAGAACAGTTGGAGAAAACAAAGTAAAATGTTATAATGAAATGTCCAAAGACCTGGAGTTATAAAACCAAAAGGGATTTATCAAGCTTGGCATTTATCAAGATGAAAGAACTGAAGAAAAAATTCAAGCCTCAAGTTTCAATATTGATGGATTCTATGGGCAAAATATTGAACAATGCAGGAAAGATCCGAAGAAGATGCACCTGTCCTACAAAATTATCCACATACATTACAGAAGCAACAGAAGACAGGGCTGGAGTAGCTTTTCAGAGACAACCAAACACCTTAAGAGAGAGAATCACCAGGCCTGCGGGCTCAGGACCATAGTCTCAGGGGACATCGTGCCCAATTGGCATAACATAGTAAATAAAAACTTTGTTCTACATCCTACTTTGGTGAGTAACAACTGGGGTCTTAAAAGCTTTTGAGTGGCTATCTAAGATGTGACTGTTGGTCTCCTCTCATCTGGAGCAAAGAAGAGTGAAGAAAATAAAAGTCATTAGGAAACAATTAATCCAAAGATAAGAGAGTCCACAAGGACCACAGCCTTCATGACCCTGAGATCAGAAGAACTGGATGGTGCCTGGCTGCCATACACTCAGAAAAGGATCAAAATTGGAGATCTTGGATAGAGTGGGAGGAAAAATGTGGAACAAAATTAAAAAACACAAAAATGATCAGAATTACTGGTCAGATAGAGACTAGTAGAACCCCTGAGAATATGACCCCAGGTTACCCTTTGGGCCTAGAAATGGACTCACTTCCGTGGATTGGCTTCCAGCCCAATAGTAGAAAGACCTACATGCAGAACACCTACCTCAGGGAGATGCACCCACCTACTCTAGGGAGATGCATCCCTTAGATCAGCCAGCCATGAGACCACAGAGGGAAAGCTGGACAGAAAGGAATGCATAGATAAGAAGGGCACAGGAAGGAGAAGGGAGGAGGGTTTTGTTATGGTTGGGGATGGTAATCGGGGCTGTGAAATCAAATATGCATGAACTGTTGAATGTAAAACAAATCTGCTTTGTAAATGTACACCCAAAGCACAATTTAAAAACCAAACAAATACATGTAATCAAAAAAAGAAGAAGAAAAAAGAAGATGGAAGGAATACAAAGTCACTTTACCAAAAAGAAATAGTCGATGTTCAGCCTTTCAGGAAATAGCATGTGATCAAGAACCAATGGTATTGGGAGGTG